CTCCTTTCCTTGGCAATTCTAATGAAAACATATGAGGGGAAAAGTGACTTTTCTGTTCTTTCCTATCAGATTGTACTAGCTATTCACACAATGAACACTTTATAGTACCGGAGATAATCGGGCTAGGTGGAACTGCTGGTTCCCCTTTCTTGGTAATTTGGTGCAAAATCAGATATTTTAGAGGGGCTTTCTTTGCTCGCATTGCTCAACTATCTCCCTGTTACATGGCTGCTTGTATTTCAGCAAGTGATACTTCTACAGTTTGGGTGAAGTCTGCCCTCACCACACCCCAGTCAAAAAGTTCAAACCTAAAGGCAGCTGTCAGCTCCCTCCCACCCCAATATACCCCTTGTGTGCTTTGCCAAAATTCTTTTCTCATTGGGTTCTTGACACCCAATAGCGGCTAGGTCCCATTTGTAATAATTATAAAAGCAATTATAACTGTTACTGTTTCAAAACAAACGGGAGGGGGGTGTGGAGCATTCAAGTCACTTTCTTATTTTAGGTAAAACATGAGGTATGAGGCAGAACAAGTTGGGCAAGCTAGTGAGAAGGGATTACAGGCTGTCTGCATGGAAGAATTTCTTGGAACCGGGAGGGGAGTGGGTGTGGGTTGTCCGTGTACCTGTGAAGGCGTAGTGCTCTGAAAGGGTCAGGAGCTGCAGGGGTGGGGTCCTCTTCCAATGGACACCCTCTCTGAGGTTCATGCCATGTGCTCGTGGTTTGGGTGGGCTGGTGAGTTTCTGCTATTAGTGGTTGCATGTCAGAGACTGGGGAATCCCAGTAAGACAAATGGAAGGCTGCTAGGACACCTGGGAGCCATTCACCAATATCTCGAGGGAGGGAGCGTCAGGATTCTCCTGATGATTGCTGGAAGAGCTCTATGTGTAATGAATCAATGGGGGAAGGATTTCCTTTCGTCTTCTTCCTCCTCTTCTCCTTCTCCTCCTCCTCCTCCTCCTCCTCCTCCTCCTCCTTCTTCTTCTTCTTCTTCTTCTAAAATACTTATTTGTCAGAGAGGGAGAGCATGAAAGAGAGGCAGAAAGCTAACACAAGCAGGGGAGCAGCAGGCAAAGGGAGAAGCAGACTCCTCACTGAGCTGGGAGCCTGAAAGAACCCCGGGATCATGACCTGAGCCGAAGGCAGATGCTTAACTAACTGAGCCACCCAGGCATCCCTGGGGAAAGGATTTCTCGTCTGATGCTCTTTTTTTCTTTATAAAGCACTCCCTGTGTGTCATTCACTTTTAAAACTTTCATTATTGATTTTGCCCAGAGTGAAAAACCAAGAAGCTGGTTTTCCAACTGTGCCTGGCAACGCCTTCAGCTTCTGTGGTGGTGCCTGGAGGGAAAGGTCCAGGGGACCCTGCTCAGTGCTCCCAGGACTGCTTCCACCAGCACTGGTCCACCTCATCTCCTTGCTCTGGTGGCAGTTTCCTTAAGATGGTGTTTCTGTAAAATTCCATTGCTTCATGTGTTTGATTGGAATTGGCATTTATGGTGTGCGGAAAAATAAATCACTTTTTGAAGAATCATTTTGGATTGCTCCTTTCTCAGAGAGATGAAATATGTGATCTCCTTCCTCTGTCTCAGTTACAAGCGCTGCCTTGTTTGGAATGCTTGGAATTTTTGTTGTTGTTGTTTTAACAAGACAGGTTTCTGCTTTGGAAAAGGCTTTTGTCATAAAAATATTTTCATATATAAAATATACTTTAACCAGTTGCATATATATTAAATCACTTTATTGAAGTATGATTGACAGACAAGAAGATGTACATATTTAATGTAGACAATTTGATGAGTTAGAAGATAAATATATGTCTGGGGAACAGCATAATACCTTTATTTAACAATACTATGTTGTATACTCAAACATTTGCTAGGAGGGTAGATCTTCTGTGAAGTGCTCTTACCGTAAATACACGCACACAAGTAATGATACATAAAGGGGGCAGGAGGAAACTTTTGGAGGTGATAGATATTTTTATATTTTTATAACTTTGATTTGTAACCACAAAGGAAGGAGTGAACACTTAATGTGTCTATGGCGAGAGATAAAATTATGTTTTAGGTGTCCACAGTGAACACAATTTCCAGTTCTGCCTTCAAAAGACTACTTCTAAGAGATAATCTAAGAAGTAGTCAATTATGTCTTCATTTCTTAAGTGTCCTATGTCTCTTTCTAAAAAAATAAGATGGAGGCACCTGGCTGGCTTGGTAGATAGCCTTGGTAGATAGCATGCAACTCTTGGTCTTGGGGTCATGAGTTCGAACCTCACATTGGGAGTAGAGATTACATTAAAAATTAAAAAAAATAATAATATAGGTTGAGACTGTAAGAAATAATTGACTTTGTTGAAGAATACCTAGATCTCCTGCTAGGTTAGAACAACAGGATTTATCTATTCATAACTGCTTCCTCTGGATGGGCTCTTCGTGTAATTGACATTTGTGGTGTTGGGTGGCTGGGCCTGTGTCATTCCTATCTTCCCGACTCAGGAAGCATTTACTGGCTACCTTTCTTCTTCTTCTTCCTCCTCCTTCTCCCTTCTTTTCCCTTCCTCCCCCTTCGTCCTCCTTCTTCCTTCTCCTCCTCCCCCCCTTCCTCTTCTTCTTCCCTCTCCCCCTCCTCCGTCTTCTAAAATTGTATTAAGTTTTAACATTTTAATTCCAGTGTAGTTAAAATGCACTGTTAGGTTAGTTTCAGGTGTACGCTATAATAATTCAACAATTCTATGCGTTACTCAGTGCTCATCATGAGAAGTGTACTGGCTATGTTTCTTCTTGATGTTTGACTTGGGATTTCTCTTTTTTTTTGGGGGGGGCAAAGATAGTCAGAATATGTTGTATGCGCTGTGTTTGGAAAATAGAAATGTGAAGACTGCAGTTGGGGGAGACTGATAATATCCCCATTTTGGAAGTGGGATGTCTTGCAGAAACAGACAGGTGGTAGTTGTCTGTGCATAAACTGGGAAGAGAAGAGAGGCAGAATCACTCATTTTGACTCCTAATTGACCCTAAAGTGAGATTTTTTTTTTAACTTCAAAATACTGAATTTGATAGGCATGTTGATTAGCTCTTGGATGATAGCTCATTAATAGTTAATCAAATAAGAATACCATGTCTCAGACCTTATTGAGCCTTTCCAAAATATTATGGAAGCTGATCATTGATTAGTTTTCTATTCACATTTATTTTTAATCTAGTCTACTACTACTCAAGGAGCAGGTGAAAAACCTTGAGTATTTCAGGTTCCTAGAGTCAGTAACTATTGATTCTTTCTGGTAGGACATTAACATAGTGCAGTTAGATCTCATAGATTTTTTTTTTCCCCTTCCATCTCATCCAATTTTGTTTTCTCTCCCTTATTTTTGTACTTTTGAACCTATATGTTGAGACGTAAGCCACTGTGGAGCTCTGTAACAAATCCTGAACATATTTCTTTTGCTCAAAAATTGGGACAAAAAGAGTATGGTTCTCTTAGGGGGAGAGGCTGTTCACAATGATTTTTATGGCCAAATTTCTTAGAATTGGCCATAGTCTTTTAAAATAGTAAGAACTATAGGACTTTGCTTCTCTCTAATTAGAACATGAGGCTTCCTGATATGATCCAACTATAGAGTATTTTCACAATTATTTTACCTCTTTTAAAGATCATCTGAATAAAACAGGTGGAAGGGTTTCTGTTCTTTTTATTTTTCATCATAGTCATCCGTGTTTGGAGATAGATTTTGCTCTGTACAGTTTCAGTGACCTAATGGTACTTGTAGTCATGGACTTTTTGTCTCTTTCTCTCTCTCTGTCTTTTTTCCCCCCTTCTTTCCTTACCCCTTCTTCCTTCTCTCTCTCCCCATTCCACCCCTCCATGTAATATCCACTTTCGAGGCAGCTCTGGGGTAATGGACCAGACACTGGGCTCCGTCTCAGAAGGTGGAGGTTTGAATTTTGCCCTGCTATATCCAAGCTCTGAGAACTGTGGCAGATTATTTAACTTCTCAGGACCTCAGTTCACCTATAAAATAATCCTCATGGCTGCAAAAGTTGAAGTGAAATGACATATGTGAAAGAACACAATACTGATGCCCTGTGGGGGGGTATGTACTGGTATAAAATAGACATAAAATTTACCATTTCAGTCATTTTAAGTGTGTCATTTGGTGGCATGGAGCATACTCATAGTCTTGTGCAACCTTCACACTATCCATTTGTAGAACTTTGTCATCATTCCAGACAGAAACTGTACCCATGAAATAGTAAAATGGTAACTCTCCATTCCCACCCACCCCCACCCCGTCCCACCTTTCTGCTTTCTGTCTCTCTGAATTTGACTTGCTGGGTGCCTCACATTGATGGCATCACACAATGTTTGCCCTTTCGGGTCTGGCTTATTTCACTTAGCGCGATGTCTTCAAAGTCCACCCGTATTGTAGCGTGTGTCAGAGTCTCATTCCCTTTTAAGGCTGAATAACATTCCATTGAATGTTTCTATCACCTTTTGTGTATCCGCTCATCTCTTGATGGGCACTTCCATAGTTTCCACCTTTTGACTGTTGTGAACAGTGGTGCTAGGATTCTTGGTGTGCAAGGATCTGTTTGCATCCCAGTTTCCGTTCTCTTGGGTGTATACCGAGAAGTAGAATTGTTGGATCATACGGTAATTCTTTGTGTAACTTTTTTGAATGACATCCTATTTTCAAGTGTCTTTCTTCTTAATCTGTTGGATTGTAGCGATGCAACTCCTAAACGTTTTGTGTGTTCCTTGTGGTCTTCTCATCCCTGTAATTTACATGAGAGGAGGCAGGATGGAGAGGTCCCTGTAAATGTCAGGACGCCAGGAACACCTTGTTAAGGTGGCAAGTCCTGGAGCCCACAGTTCTCAGAATTGCCTTTGCCATGTGCCTAGACGGTGTGGGAGGGGAAGCTTTGCCGTGGAGGAGCCCAGATGTGTTGCCTAAACAACCGCTGTATGAATGAATAAAGTATTTTCTGCCTTGGACCTTCCTGTAGGGATTGAGGTGACTAGAGACTGGCGAGGAGAGGCTGATGGGCTCAGGTGGGAGAACGCAGTACCTCACCATGACCACCGAAAATCCGGCGGCGGGAGAGCTGGCTCCGGCCCCCCTTGTCACTTGCAAGCTGTGCCTCTGTGAACAGTCCTTGGACAAGATGACCACACTCCGGGAATGCCGCTGCCTCTTCTGCACAGCGGTAAGTCTTCCCTGATGCTTTCGTCACGAGCGTGGGAAAATACGGAAGGGGAGAACCGTGAAAGGACAGGGTTGGCTTCCGTGGCTTTCTGGGATGCCGGGGTTTACGACAACAGGCCCCCGTGTGGGAGAGCTCTTCCACCTTTGGGTCTGTCTCCAAGTATTGTCTTGAATGGTAGGTCTGAGATTTCCTGGTTTGGAGGCAAAGGATAATATATGTGTGAAATGTAATTATTGGTTAAAGAAGCAGAATCTGTTCTTAAAGGATGAGGCAAGGAACAAAATAGAAATATTCCTAACATGTCTTAACTACCATCTGAAAGGCATTTGCCAGTTATTTTGAACGATGGAGAAAGCAGGTAGCAAATTCCTGAATTTTCTTTTGTAGACTTGCTCATCTCCTACAAAGCCCATGAAATCTAATTCTTTTACTTTGTTATGACAAAGTAAGATTCTTTTTTCTCCCCCTATTTTCACAATATGCCGGATGGTTCTTATTTGTCATGAACAGGAGAAGCCTGTTCATCTCCAGGGGTGGGCTTGTTTCTTTTACTCTGATACTTAGTATCAATGTGTGTGACCTGATTGCCTGGATCCCTGAAGATTGGTTGGTTAAGGTGTAAGATGGGAAACAGAACGACGGATTCAAAGTGGCTGCTAGAAGCATGAACCTGGGTGGTCTTATTCAAATTTTCATTTATTAAACATCTTTTGAGCTCCTCCTGTGTGTCAGGGATGCTGTGGGATGTTGGGGACGTAGCGGTGAAGGAGATGGTTCCCGCAGGGAAGAGGGACACATTGAAGGAGCATTTATGTTTAGTGGAATCCGGGGAAGCTCGGCCTACCAGAGGAATGTCTCATGCATGTGGGGGACGGAGGGACATCCTGGGGGCAGTGATCTCTGAGCTGAGGCTTTAATTAGAATTTGCAAACTGATGCTTGTGGACCAAGTCTGGGCTCAACACATTTTTGTTTGGATCCCCAACTGGGAAATTTCATGAGAAAATGAAAAAGTGGTACGATATATCTACTCTGGGCCTATGTTGATAGGCCCAGAAATAGATGAGCTTTCCTCTGTTAATATATATATCAATCATAATCATCAATTCGTATCTCTCTATATATGTATTTTTTAAAAATTTATTTTTATTTATTTTAAAGAGAGAGCACGCGCGCAAGCAAGCACATGAGTGGGGAGAGAGATGGGGGAGAGAACTCCAAACAGACTCCATGCCCAGCACAGAGCCCAACACAGGGCTCAGTGCCATGACCCATGAGATCATGACCGGTGCCGAAATCAAGAGTCGAATGCTCAACCGACTGAGCCACCCAGGCGCCCTCCTCTGCTTATGTTACCCTCCTCTCTCCTGTTTGTGTTTGAATCAACTGCACTTTTTTTTTTTTTAAAGGATTTTATTTATTTATTTATTTGACAGACAGAGATCACAAGTAGGCAGAAAGGCAGGCAGAAAGAGAGGGGGAAGCAGGCTCCCCGCCCAGCAGAGAGCCTGATGCGGGGCTCGATCCCAGGACCCTGGGATCATGACCCGAGCTGAAGGCAGAGGCTTTGACCCACTGAGCCACCCAGGTGCCCCTCAACTGCACTTTTAAACTGAGGATGGGTAAGACTCATGCAGGACACGTGCTGCCATCTCAGCCTGGCAGAGGCCTGATGCCCGAGTTACAATATTTACCATTTATCTTTGCTTTGGTGGGCCTTGTAGCAGCAGACTGTTAATGTTTATTATACCAAGGTATAATAATCACCAGACAAATGTGGGTGTAGTGCCCTGACTTGAGAAGGATGTTGAATTGCTCAGTTATAGTGACCAGCGCTTGTATCAAGGGGAGTAAGAAGAAAGGAATCGTTAGGGAAGTAGAATCATTTATCAAGAGGCATGTTTACTAAGCATATCTTTGGGGGAAAGAAAGCACATAATAAGTTAAGGTGAAATAAATTTTTCTCTCTCTTTTCACTTAGTTCAGTTAATCAATGCGACGTGTTCTCAAGCTCGTGTATATCAATTAAAAATTTTGGGGGGGATTGAGAATTCAGGTGGGGAGAAGCCTTGGGATTATTCTTAGGTAAAAAGGAAGAAAGAGATTAAAATCCTTCCCTTAGGTCTCCCATCCAAAGATGACAGCGAGGACAGGAACTGTTCTAGGCCCTGGGACTTACCAGTTTAAGAAACAAAACCCAGCAGAGATGCTTGCTCTTAGGAGCTTACAATCTATCCAAGGCAGTTGCACAATAAACTGTAAACACAATAAACGAGCGAGTTCTACAGGATGGGGTCATGGGCCTGCGGGAAGGAGTAAGGCCGGCTCAGGGAGCTGGAGTGCGGCGGGCTGGGAGGATTGCATTTCCATTAGGCTGTCAGGATGAGGCCTCAGGGACATCTGTGCTGGCTTTTCCTCTTCTCCTCGGCCTGTGTTGCTTAAGGAAGTGACCTTGTTATCCAGGGGTGGCTTCAGTTTCCTCTGGACTCGCTTTGCTGCCGACGGCTGTGTTCCGAGGGGTTGTTTCTCTGACTGGCGCACCTGTGTTTCGGACCCTTGCCTAATCCTTGAAACAAATGAGTCAGAAGCAACGTTTGGGTCAAGGCAGGATGGAAATTTTTGTCTCAGGGTGACTGACGTTGAAAAAGCAGGATCTGGAATTGAGTTTTTGCGACGAGACTCAGCAGTTCAGGGTTCCAGTTTGGGCACGAGCGTCTGCACGTCTGGGGACGAGGTATCTGATCGCATCACAGTTACGGTTGCAAGAGCTCTCCATTTCTGGTTAAAAACGACACAACGGCTTCTCGGTTCTCCTTTGGCAATTGGACAGTAGGAGTTAGGACAATTGGATTATTCTGTCATCTGTGACCCTACTTCCTCATTGCTGGGGAGTGAGTGCTCCAAACCAGAAAGTCAAATGGCTTGGTGTTTTTGATATCCCTCCAAGTCTGGAACTTTCTGCACCTATAAACATTAACCTTCCCTGGCTTCCTGTACCGCATTCCCTGTGATCTACCAAACTAGTAACCTGCATGTACTGGATTACATTAGTGTCTAAATTTGCAACTGACATCAGGCTCACCTGAAATACTACTCTAACTTTTTATCATTTAGACCTTTCATTTCTTCTTTTAAAAAAGCTATTACAGGATGAGTCTGATCCCCCAGATTTTAGTTTGCACTTAAATACTGGATATTAAATATTGATATTAAAGATACCAAGTTTGTTTTGTGTTTTCAAGGCTGAAATGAAATTTGTGACTTTGCTCTTTGAAAATTTTATATATTTATTTGAGAGAAAGACACACACACAGACAGCATGAACAGGGGGGATGGGCAGAGGGAAGGGAGAAGCAGACTCACTGTAGGGCAGGGAGCCCAACTTGGGGGCTCCATCCCATGCCCTGAGCCAAAGGCAGAGGAGTACCCGACTGAGCCACCCAGGGACCCCTTGTGACATTTTTTAATCGGCATCTACTAGTAATTTCCAGCTTTAAATATGACTGGATGACATCTCCTAATTATTGGCTGGGAAGGACATCTTGGGCAAGTTGTGTCTTTAAAATAGTTTTGCTGACACTGTTCTCCCTCCCCTCCTCATTAGGAGGCTGACCAAATGGAATGGTCCTCTTGCTGGATCCAGTATACGTTCATAGATTTAATAAAGCTTTTTATACCTTTTACCCTTGTCCTGTTTTCCCTAAGAATGATCCCTGACCAGGTTGCCGTGAGCTTAAATTCTTTCTGTTTCCAAGATCAGTGTGCCCTGGGAAAGCAGTGTGGATAGATGCGGAGTGTCTGACTGGACCCTTGGATGGGGTCCCTATCTTTAGTGAGATCTGGCCTTTAAGTAGGTGCCCCCACCCCTCGTGTGCTCTGTGGCCCTCCAGCTCTGTGAAGCAGAGGTGATCCTCTGCTAGAGTGTCCCAAGCCCAGATTAGCTCGGAAACTGGTATGTTCTCTCTTCCTCTTCTTGGAAGGGACGTAAGGCACTCGAGAGGCTCTGTGAAATCTTCCGGTTAAAAGAAAAGCGGGGCACCTAGGTGGCTCAGTGGGTTAAAGCCTCTGTGGTCAGCTCAGATCATGATCTCAGGGTCTCGGGATCAAGCCCCGCATCGGGTTCTCTGCTCAGCGGGGAGCCTGCTTCCTCTTCTCTCTCTACCTGCCTCTCTGCCTACTTGTGATCGCTGCCTGTCAAATAAATAAATAAAATCTTAAAAAAAAAAAAAAAAGGGATCCTGTTTCACTTCTCCTGAGGAGGCGTTTCCATTTGACCATACCACTTTTTTAGTGGAACACCCATTAACTTGCCCACAATTTGTGCGCTGGCGAATGCTGCTTTAAATCATTGACGTGTAGGTAATTCTTGATTTAATGACGTCCAGAGAGCAGACTGTAATGCGTGTTGCTTCAGATAGCCTATCAGTATAGCTGGTTTCTTGGTAAAGGAAACTTCGTGAGTTCTGTTTCGGAGGGTGGTTTCTGTAGACTGTTTGCTTGGCTTTAATATAGGAAGAAAGTGTAGTGTAAAGCAAGGAAGTCTATACAGGACGGAAATGGGCATAGCTGTCACAAGCATGACTGATCTCGTAGATCATGAGGTGCATTATGGAGCCAAAGAAGTTGGTATTTTGGGGTTCTGGAGAGAGGTGTTGCAAAATTACTTGTTCTTGCACTTGAAGGGTAAATATCTCAGGGATGTTAGTCTACTAACTAATGATATGCAGAAACTCTCTCTCTTCTCTTCTCTCGCTCCCTCTCTCCTGTGGATTTAAATAACCCAACCCATGAAAATTCAAAATTTCCTTTTCTGGCATTTGCACCATACCCTTTCAGATAATACCACACCATTATAATTCAGGTGGGAGAAAAAAGAGTCACAAAAGTCAGTTATCAAAAGGAGGGAAAATTTGTGGGTTTGCTCCCTGGTGAGCCATTTTTGCCTCCCTGATTTATTTTGGAAGCTATTTCTGTCTGCCACGAATTAAAGAATAATGGAAA